TGGGGGTGACAAAAATTATAGCTTTTGCTTATGTGTTCATGATTTTTTTAATTTTTAATTTTTAAAATTGTTCGGTATTGTTAAACCTATTGTACCTATACCTATTTAAAATACATACCTACACATTTTGTCTTTTAAAAATATTGTTGAGCATCTAATTAAAAATAAAAAAACTTTACGATACCTATAGGGAATAGGTACCTATATAATGTTACTATGTAAAACCATTTTTCCCGTCTTTCTAAAAAAAAAAGATAAACAAACTCCACCGCAGTACATTATATAGTACATCCACTCACCAGAAATAATATTATAAAAATACTATTACAGTGAAATAATGAACAAAATGTTGTCGTTTTATTTACTGATACTGCACAGTGATAAAAATATATAATGTATATTATGTGTATAGTATTATGTAAGTAAGCTCGTGGTAAATACAAGTCACTGAAACATGGGTGACATACATAGCCGTGGAGATGTCAGATGGCCGGAACAAATTAGTAAATTACGAGAAATTCCACGGCACGACAGAAAAAGAAGCAACTACACTGATACTAGACTACGAGCTTAAGCTCTAAGATTTTAATAATATTTAATTTCAAATATTATTTGGAAGCTAATTCAACAATATTTGCACTAAAATATTTGACGGGACACCTTCTGAAAATATTTTGAAAATATTAATATATTGAATTTACTATGTGGGTTAGACCCGGTAAACATTTACTATTGTTATTAATACTATTATATAATTATTATTATTATTTTACACGGCCACATGGGATGGGTGGAGCTTCAATCAAGAATCAACGGTGACGTCCACGCGGAAATATTCAATACAATATTATATTATATTATTACATATACATAACATTATAATATAATCGCATACATATAATATTATAATGTCGTTCTGAACAATGTGGCAAATTTTCACAATGGAATGCATTAGAAGATATTTATGAACGGTTGATAGGCGAAGGTTTCTGCCTGGGAGTGAGTGAGATAGAGAGAGGGTTTCAAACGTGTGTCTGTCACTGTGGCAAAACTACGTGTATGCGTCCGTCCATGTGTTATATGTATGTACCCACCTATATATTATGTATCTTTTCTCAACGAGAAGGTGATGGAAATGGATAACACTTTTAAAATGGCGTAAATATACAATTTACCTACATGCAAAAGAATCATAATACGTACCTGCCTAATAGAATGAAAATAAAATATCAACGATTTAAACTTAGATCTGTGTACCTAATGACAAAAATGCCACCACAATGAAAGTCTTAAAATTCTATTATATAACTGTATATCTTGCTATGATTTAAAAATAATAAAATGTTGCACAGTTAATTTCGTATATAAAAAAAAAATATTTTACGTTTAACTTCAGAGTGGTCATGTACCAATACGTTAAAATATAACAATTATAATTTATCGTAAGGAATCAAGAATTAAGTTTTAAGAATGAAATTCTATTGGAATTTAAATTTGATGTATAGTTACCAGAGCTGTAGCTAGGGCTTGGCGAGACTGGCCCAGGCCAGGGGCGCAACGAAAAAGGGGCGCAAAATCCAGAATAAAATATACCATACAATATATATATATATATACATATGTTATTATTATTTTTTATTGGTATTCATAATAATTTACATTTTACTAGAATATGCACAAAATAGTTTTATTACTATAAGTACATTATAGTGATTATTGACTATATACCTACTATTTTATAGTGTAGCCGTGTAGGTATTGTATATTATACAAATATTACAATTATTATTTACAGGTGTTTAAGAATAATAACTCATTATAATATTACGTAATATTAGGCCCGGGTACCCGAGTGATATTTTAAGAACAGTTAGTAGCCGATAATAGTGTGTTTTTATTTATGTTGATAGTTGTTTAAACTGCTGCTTATACAACCATCTCGGCACGCAAGTCAATTATCAACATGGTAGTTTTGAAAATCGATCATTATTATTAAATATTAGCTGCATGTAGTTAAAATTAGGATTCTAAATTTATTATATTTTAAAGACTCCCTTAGTCCCGTCAGTCGTCATATATATAGGTAGGTAGATACTCCTATACTAAATATATTTAGTCATTTTATATTAGTCAGTGAAAGGAAGAACTTCCACAACAGTTCTACGGTGAATTCCTAATTATTATTAATTATAATTATACAAAATTAAATGAATTTACTTAATTGTAGTTCATAATATATTAATATAAGTATTAAGTTGTAAGTTGTAACCTAGGTTTATACAAAATAATTGTTTATAAGAATGTAAATAGTAAATATCTAGTAGGTATACTGGTATACAAGAAGTCACTATTAACATTCGTTGGTTTTTATCGATCAAATTTGAATTTAAGTAATACATTAAGATAGTTTGTTCACAGTTCACCTATTTAAAAAAAATAATACGTTTATTCAATTAATTGATTAATTATTTTAAAATCCTCTAAATCTTATTTGGAGTTAAGAAAAAGAAATAATAATTAATATTAGTCTAATATTGTCTTAAAAATTATCTTCACAGTTCACACCAAGTATCTATTTTATTTTATTTGTTTTAATCTTACGGACTATTTTTGATAATCTAAGGTTAGATATTTATTATTATTATAGAGTAATTTGGACAACTAGCTTGATAGTGATATCGATAAAAAAATATCTTTAATTCAGTTTAATGATTAAACATAAATTTAATGAGTCTGAGAAATTTTATTTCCTTATTGAAAATATAAATTTATTTCTTAACTCTTTGAGGGGCGAAAATTTCCTTTAGAAAAAAGACCCATGTGGGCAATATGTCTATTTACCATAACATTTAGTACGTATATCAAAATATTGATAATGATAATAAATGATGAAAAACGCGAGAAATGATATCAGACCAGCGGCAGTGATATTGTTTGATGCATGTATAAGATGATAATAAGGTGATTGGTATGCTGACCATCATCAAAAAAATATTAAAAATAATTTTAAAAGTGGTTAAAATAGTAACCACCGCACCTGAACGGTAAAAAAAAAAGTGGTTAGCATACTAACCACGGCCCCTCAAAGAGTTAAATTATATTTTAAAAGATTTTATTTTATTTTTTTTAAATTATATCTGGACGTTACCAATCCTTTTGTTATCGGTTTCACATACGAGCGACATAGCAAATATTCGTTCACTAGTTACAATAGTGTGCTGTGAGTTTTTATATTTAGAGTGTTTTGACCTATTATTAAACTTTTAGTTAAGAACATTATATATGCTTAAGCGTCTGATTTTATTCCATATTTTAATTTTCAAGCGAGATAAGAGCATTTTTAATTTGCGATATTTTATATCTTGCTTGGAAATTTAAATATCGAATAAAAGTCGACGCTTAAGCACAGCTAATGTTCTAAACTAAAAGTTTAATAATAGATCCATAGTTAATATTAATAATTGAACATCACCATTGATATAAAAACTAACAGCACATTATTGAAACTAGTGAACGAAAATTTGCTATGTCGTAGGTTTGTAATACGGAGACAACAAACGCATGTGTAGTATACGTACTACTGTACTAGTATACTCTTAATAAAAAAAAATATAAACCTTCTAAAGTGGAGTTTAATTATATACTACCGAAAAAGCACAAAAAGTGAAATTTTGAAATGTAAAAAATAATTTTTTTTTGATTATTTTATAAGGTTTTAATAAGTTTGGCAGTGTTTACTATTGTTTTTTTTTTTACTAATATTATAATTTTTACTATTAAAAATAAAATAGCGAATGCATAAGTCTTTTATATGTGTGTGTGAGGGGGGGGGGGGGGGGTTAAAAAAATGTATAAGGGCGGAAATATGATAAATGGCCAGGAGCGCTAATAAACATTCCTACGGCTCTGATAGTTACATTATTATTGCCTATAAAAAATCGTTAGTCAAATAAGAATAGTTATTACTTTATACTTTTAATTAATGAGTTAAATAAAATTATGTAAATACCTACTGTAATAGTTTTTAGATTATACAAATAATTTTAAAATGATTGTGTTATATATCTGATAGGTATAATATACGTTTCTGAATTATTTGTAAGAATATGTTTTCATAACATAACGATCCACACAGTAAAGATACTATTATAATTATGGTACAGTTTGTAATGTTTAACTTCAGTGTCAGATAATAAATTGTTATAATATATTATGTTAGGATAATATTACGATATAAAATTATTTATTCATTATCATCCCAATTATTGAAAAATATCAGTAATTGGACAGTATAATAGCTGTTTACGTGCAATGTGCATATTATAAATGTATATTTATAGGAATTGTTTCACAACTAATTAATACTTCTAAATATTTTTTTAACATACTTACATGAGTAAATATAGATTATAAAAAATGAATTGTAAGTGGGAAAAAAAATACGTAGGTATATGCAATTAAATATAAAATGACGATGTACCTATAATTCATTAATTTAAATTTGAAAACCAATTTTTGATATTTTTGATATAAAAAACGAATTTTTCTTTTTTATTGAAATTGACAACAGCATTTGTTTTTTTATGATTAACCGTTATATGTCAGTAATGACACAACTTTTTATTTAAACTAGCAAAGACGAGGTTGGTTTGTTTAATTTAATATTAAATAATAACAATAATAATAATAGAAAAAATAATATTGTAATAAAAATTGATATTATTAATTAAAATAAACTATGTGAGTAAGCCTATATGATTAAGGTTTATGTATTTGGTTCAGAATCAAAATATGACGTATTAAACGAGTGCGCCTCAGGCTTTCGATACAAGTTTTGATCCAGCCTATAGTTGAACACGTTATAGTTGCTTTACAAACACATGACGTGGGAGTCATAATTTATACCTACAGCATAGTCAAATGACGTAGGTATCCAGTTAAGGTAAAATTCTATAGCCTAAATCATTTTAAAATAATAATTATTATTACATGGTACATACCTTTGGCTATGCCAGTGAGGACGTTTCCCAGATAGACGACCTTGTAACATGGATCGTACTCGGTTATGGTCACAGATCGCCTTCGCCACAGCTTTCCTAGACCCAAAGCACCTAAACTGATGCTTTTTTTGAAAGGTTTTCCTTTTCCGTTTGAAATGAGCTCAGGATGCTGACTTTCGTGCTTCATTGTGGCACAAGCATTAGATCTACAGGCCTGTAAAGCAAAACCAAATACATAATATTGAGATTAGTTTTGTTATATTGGTAGTTTAGTAGTTACATCGTTATTGAGGTCGTTAAGAACTCAAATTGTAATTCGGTCATTAACCACTAATACCAGTATAAAAATTAAGCAAAATAAGTATAAAAACAATTTTAGGAGATATATTATGATCAGAAATATTTTACTTTTTAAAAAAAAAACAATGAATACATGTTGTTTATGAATAAATTATTCAACAGGTGATACTTGTATACAATAAAATAATATAACAGTATATCTTACGTCAATATCAACGAGAATATTAACATACACAAACACCACTGAGTATTGATAAACTGCAACGATTACGTTATGTTTTTTTTACCTACTCTAAAGTCTAAACCTAAAATAAGTTATTAAATTAACTCATATAGATACCTAATTTTATATTATTATTTATAAAATGATTACCATTCTAGTTTATTTTCGTATGATTTGCATTTTATATAGGTAGTTAAAATTATTTAGGTGAAACGATTCTTTGTCCAAATTATTAAAAGATTACATTTACGACAAGTTACAACTTACTGCAACGCAATACATATAAAATATAAAATAAAATTATTAATATAATACAATTTAATATTGTCAATATTTGATATGAAATATAATTATATTTCGGTCAACGTACGTAATGATTATATACCTAAACATTTTTATCTTTTCCTACACTAATTGAAAAATATTTTTTTTCAAATTTTGTTTTAAGCAATTTGAGATTTTTGTTGAATATTATGAATTATATAATATATAGTATAGACATAACGACATTTTTAACAACAATAATATATCTATGTATAATTTATTATAATGACTCGCAAATCGAAAATAAACTACAATGTATACATCAGGCAGTATGAAGGTTGTTTAATTATCAATAAAATACACTACAAATTGAGTATCTATAGGCAATTAATATACAATATTACATAGAGAGGAGGGATCTCATGTTGAACATTTGTGTGTATATTATTGAGTATGTACATATCTGTATTTGGATTACACTGTTACTTACAACTCTTTTTACAAACTAAGCAAAAACGTATAGCATTTGTAATACGTATTTACCTACTGAATGTTAGCTTAAGCATACCTATATGAATAATTTTAAGTATGAGAAAAATTACGAACAAAAAATGATGTATGAAAGTGATAACTGATAAGACAGGAGTAAAACTGACAGTAAGACGATGTACATAATAGCGAAAAATAGTCCGTTACACTCATATGAGCATCTTCAATTTTATTTACTTTGCAGACCGTGCAGCCCCATTATAGAACATCGTTACTTTAAATTTAAATTTTTTTAATTCGTACAAAACCAACCATGTATAAATAAGACTATATTATATTGTGTAATGTGTATTTGAGTATATTGAAAACCATCAAGTGTGTCTATTTGTAATAGAATCATGAGGTGAAACAAAATGGAATAATTTAAAAAGAAAAAACCATTTTTCATGATTTATATTACGTTGTAATACAAGTCAAAGACTAAAATCTAAAAATCTCGATAGGTATTTGATTATTTAATTTTTTTCAAAACCATATACATTTTTTTTCGTCGTATTCATTTGAATAGAGTACAGTAGTGCATCAGGGACTCGTACTTGGGACGTTTACAGGCCTGTTCAGTCAAAGAAGCGAAACACACGAATGGTGTCAAGGACTGTGTTTATAACGACAAAAATAAATTACAAGAAAAAATAGGTACACGTGTTTATAGGTACACGCAGCTTATGTAGGCTGTAACAACTAACAGTAGGTACTTACACAAGTCATAGGGAGCAGCACACACGTTACATACTATACAAACATTCTGGTTACCTTGTGCGTATCATATTTTATTCTTAGGTCTCTTAACTGGTCCGTCGCGTGTCACCCAAAACGTTACATAGTACGGGTTTCTTATTAATAAAATTGGAAATCGTTTTGTACCATACATAATATTTTGACCTTGCCTGATTAAAATGGGTTAAAAAAATTAACGGCAGTTTGAAAATCTGTATCAACAACCATGAACTCTAACCAAAAGTGTGTGTGGCAACCCGATCGATGATACCACGCCGCCTAACGAAATCGTGCAAAAAAAAAAACACGTTGCGACGACCGCAATAATAGATAATAATACATATTTTATTGCACTATAGTGCAATATCGATGCGATGGGTTATTTGAAACCAATTAGTATAATATCTATTCAATCGCGTTAATTCAACCCATATGCACATCAGACGCAACGTAAGTCGACCAATTACACCAAGACACACTTCAAAGATATTGTGTAAATAATTAATTACTTAATCATTTAGGCCGAAAATGTGTAAATATTAAATTACTTTACCTTTACGACCCCTCGGGGTGTGTTTTTCAATTATTTTGTGTGTTTTTAATAAGCAATACATATATTTCCAACACAAACAATTTAGGTACCCACTCAGCTAAACAAGGCATTTAACACACCTAAGTTGCAATATCTAGGTATATAACATATTATACCAGACAAAATACTATAGATATACACTTAATTTTATTAAAAGCGAACAATTTTGAGGTTGACGAACTATATAATTTACAATTTGTTTATTTTCTCGTAGTCAACAGGATTTTTGTGAAAATTTGAAGAAATATGCGAACCATCACGTGACATAATCTTTACAATTTGTAAACGTTTTGCAGTATTCGTACGAATGCTGTACCTACCGCATCTAGTACCTACTACCTATACGCAGCAGCTGCAGTGGTGGATTCACGGTTATTACACACGCACCGGTGTAATATATAACATTATATATTAGGTACCTTAAACTGAATACGGCTCTACCGGTTGTTCAGAAATGTTTTGAAAGCGTTAATTTTTAATTGACGTACACACCGTGACATGCGGAACACGTCTTACTTCAACCCGTGCGTATATTAGATCCTTTTACTTTATAATTTTTGGCCGCGGTAATAATCATAAAACATACAAATAAATGTGTCAGACTCACTGGCGACGACCCGGTTAACTGTAGATACTAGAAAATGCGCGTGCGATATCGCTAAAAAGAAGCGCAAACATTCACACACATACAAACAGATAAAAGTAGTTTCGCCCGCCAACAGTTTAAATGTTAAAATGATTGAACTCGAGCCGCAGGCTTACACCGATACCAAATAATGTTTTGACGTGCTATGAGATCCTATGCTTAGTGCCGACCGGCCGCCCCGAATTTAATTTTTATTATTATTATTATTATTATTATTATTATATGAATTTATATTTGTATGCCTTCTTCTCACGGCAAGAGCCGTATAGCCGCATGACCTCTATTTTTATATTTATAAAGAAGAAAAAACGCATAGCGCCTCAAACATTATATAGTATATATGTATATAATACCTATTTTGCCGTCGTATTGAATTTCACACCGAAACACATCCACGATCCACGGACAATATTATCCTAATTACAGTTAGGGGGCGCCAATAACCTCATCTGTACGATAATTTTTGTCCTCGATCCGACCACCACCATCGTTTTCTTGCGAGTGGTACACCAACCACCGCCACTTGAATGGGGTGGTGTTATGCACTCACAGACCGTTTCTTTTCTAACATATCCAGAACACCATTCTGATCATAAAAAGTATAAAAAGTCTCACCAAATACAATTGTCATAGAATGAGGGGGGTCTAAGGGGGCCATAGCCCCCTAGAATTTTGTTTACCCCCCCCACGTAAATATTTTTAGTTACATTTATTGAATATACGTTGTGTACTAGAAACATAATAGGTTATAGCCCCCCTATATAATTTCATCACGCTACGCCTATGCCGAGGACACTATCGATGGTGGTACCTGATATATTTTCTGATGTAGGTTTGTGATTATTACAGAGAAACATTTAACAGTTTTTTTGCAGTTTTACGTAATCGAATTACCGTTAAAAAGATTTCACCCATCTGCTGACTTCAAAACAGTTTAACAATTATTCCATGTGCGAAGCCGAAGCATCACTACGCTACCAACGATTTCGGACGCGGAATTATAAAAAAAATTTATAATATTTCGAGTAATAAGTTATACTGCCACTGCCGCAACCAATCTTTAATCACACGCTCGTCGTTTTACCGAGTGTTTTATTGGAAAATACTCACTCCACCGGTGGAATAAAATTTCATTTTCTGTAGGTTTAACGCCAATAAATATCGATACTCATATTTTATTATTATGTTCGCGTACCCTGTTAAACAGAGTACATACGCAACGAGTGGGAAGAACGCGTTCAGAAACGTAAACGATTTACTCATTAAGGAAAGACGTGAATAATAATATTATGCAAGGAACCGGTTGTCACTGTAGCGACATGGCCCCAACTGTTATCGAAACTCTAACCCAAATGCCCGAGTCGGTACAGGTTAGGTTAGGAGTGTATTTACGTCGGTCAGTGACCGTGGTTCGTCTGCAAATATTATATTATGCGTGGTATAGGTATATTATGTATATTGTATGTATAATATTTATATTACTTCGATTACCTTCTAAATTTTTGTGATAATAATATAAGTTTACATGGTTCCCATTAATATTGGTTTTTTATAAATTAAATTGTTGAGTAACGTATTGGGTCTTTTACTTGACAGATTATTAAAAATAAAAATATATAGGTATAATCTTGAATATATTATTCATCCACCAAGACATTTTCAAACTATTGCGATACACATATAAAATAAATACACGGTGATCGGGTGATGGAGCAGTTTTGCAAATAAAAATAATAAATTAATTGCATAGGTTACTAATTAGTAATAATTATTGCTTATTATTATAGAATGTAAAAAAAACTATAATAAACCTATTTCGTTCTGATATCATTTAAATTGAACAATAATATATTATAGTATTAAAAATAATTGTTAAAAACTTTTAAAAACAGTGTC